GTTATTTTTATACTACCCAATTATATGTAGGTACATTTTTTGAAAAAATTGTCCTGCATTTTCAAAATATATTTGTGGTCACCGTAAGTATAGTCATCATTAAAGTAGGTAGGGCCTGTAGGTATTAGGTCCGGGTAAAGTCATGCGTTTGGGACTGGTGTGCTCTTTCAGTGAAGTTCGCAAACTCTATTTGGATCAGCTTTTCTAATGTTAAAGAAATGTTCTTTTTAAGCGGAGCAGGGGAGAAATCAGGTTCCATATTAACACTTTCATAAATATTGTACCACTTTTTAGTCCAGTACGAACCTTGTCGCACTGCCTCCTCGGCCACGATGCGAGGCAATCTGTTAGACGGCAGACTAAAACAGCGCCCAATAAAAAACACATGGGCACGTATGGTGTGGCAAAAATGAGGGCATAACCCGGTTTCCAGGTGCATCATATAGTTTGGGGTATTAGAGGGAAGAAATATTAACATTTTTAAAAAGAAACGCAGGAGTTTCTCTACGGGTTCAAACTTTTCAATACCCCAGCCGCAGCATCGAAAATTGTCATCTTCTTTGAGATAGAGATACGAGGGTTGTTTATATATTTGATCCATGTGGCGTTTACCGCAGTTTTGGCCTCAACTAGTTTTGCGTCTAAGTGCTTCACAAAAGTAAGTTTGTAGTTTAAAAGTAAACCCAAATACTTATACTCCTTGACAATATCAATAACCTCATTTCCAAAACTCCAACGACATCGGGAAGGAATTCTACTGCATTCCTTAAAAACTATAATGTTAGATTCGGCGATGTTAACCTTCAGCCCCCAATGCGTGCTGTAAACGTGAAGCTCGTCTATCATTTTTTGTAAATCTAATGCAGAATCTGCCAAAAGCACAATATGGTCGGCGTACATCAGAACTTTTACTATTGTGTCACCAACTTTCACTCTGCAGGGGAGGCTGTCACTTAAATCATTAAGATATAATACGAAAAGGGTTGGACTTAACAAACAACCTTGACGTACACCTTGATTAACAAAAATCAAGTCGGAAAACTCCCCATCTAACCACACCCGACTAGTTGTATCATAATATATTAATCGTATAACCTCTACAATATGGCTGGAGAGACCGAGACAGGCTAGCTTGTAGAAAAGCATACCGCGAGGAATTGTGTCAAAAGCACATGAGAAGTCGACGAAGAAAGTATAAGATTTCTTTTTCGCATTAAAATCCAAGTGTATAATACTAGTTAAAATAGATAGATTGTCCATTGTTGAGTAATTTTTGCGGAAGCCAGCTTGAAGTTCGGTTATTATATTGTTACAGTCAAGCCACGCATTTAGACGGCTCAGCAAAAGACCAGTAAAAATTTTATATATTGTGTCGAGCAAAGAGAGACCCCTGTAGTTGGACGGAACGTCTGGATCACCTTTTTTAAAACGAGAAATAATAATAGCGTTACGAAAACTTTGAGGAATTTGCTTTTTAAGAAATATTATATTGTACCATGCAAGAAGCTCAGTTAGAAAACACTCTCGGGCGTACTTATAGAATTCATAGCTAATACTATCTTGACCAGGAGCCTTATTTTCCTTAAGCCCTTTAAGAACAAGCTTCAGCTCGCGGAGTTCAAAAGGAGAATCTAGAAACGGGTCCACATCTGAGGGCAAAGTCCAGTGCATGCAAGGTGTGTCAGCTGAGCAAAATAGCAAAGTTTCAAAATGGCTGTAAAGATCCTGCAAGGATAGGCTACACTTCACTCTCTGGGAACGACATTTCAAAGAGTTTGCAATTCGCCACCAGTCACTGGAGTTCCTAACAGTGTTTAAGAGGTCAATTTCCTTACATCTATGTTCCAATTTTTTCTTAGAGCAAAGCTTGAAATAGCTTGCGCGAGAGGATACAAACAATACACGTGCTGCCTCAGAACTAGTACATCTAAACACATCTAAATGTTTCAACATGTTTTTCCGTGCCATCAAGCATTGGCTGTCGAACCAATTGTTTTTTGGCGTGAAATACGGTTTGCCAAGTCTTGCCGGAGCAGCAGTTTTTACTTTATTTGTTAAAGTGGACACCAAAACATCAATTTTGTCCTCTGCATTGGCAAAGAGCTAATAAGTCCATTATATCTATGAGCTAACTTAGACTTCCACAGGCACCGAGAACTGCATTAAAAGCGGCATATGGTCAGAGAATTCTTTTTTACCAATAGAAAAGCTATTAATAAGCGGAAGGAGGTCAAAGGAACATATAGCGTAGTCAATAACCGAGCATCCTACAGCTCCACAAAACGTGAACTCCCCACACGTATTGCCAGATATCCTTCCGTTCAAGATAACTCCCCCCACATCCTCCACTAAGCTCAGAATTTTTCTACCATTAGTATATAATACTGAGTCTTTTGAATCCCTACTTTCCGAGAATTCAGGTAGCCCAGACAGTAGGTGTTCTTCACTTAGTTGTAGTTTACCCACGCGTGCGTTTAGATCACCAAGGACACAAAAAGAGTCTGGGTGCTCAGTAGCGAAAAAGTTTTCTAAATGTTGAAAATGTTCATACCAATTGTTGCAATTCAAGTACTGTGGAATTAACCATGTACATGAATGAAGATTCACTGAAAGTACAACACATCCAGAGACGTTAATAAACTTAATTTTATAAGCCGTTTTTAAGCTTTTTTTTGAAACCAAAAAGACAACCACCGCTAGCGCGGCCTGCTTTGTGTATCTTAACAACTTCCCTGTCCTCATACATTGCATTTTGTTAATGCCCCACGTCCACAGGTTTTTTGCTCTAACATGCTGAAGAACGTCACACACAATTGTACACAAAAATGAATCACATGTGACTCATGAACTTATTTCAACACGCTCTCGTGAGTCACATATGACTCATTGGACAGGGAAGTTGTTAATTGCATCTTTCCAAAGTAAAACGTAATCTGTAAAATGGAGAGAAAATTTTGTTCTGTCTTCGGCAAGTATGTGGGTCTCAAACAAAAAGAAAATATCGAATGATTTAATAAACGTAAAAAAGTTACTGAATTTTAGCTTACTGTTTAAATTAGCTATATTATATGATATAATATTAAACTGTGATACTGATTTAATTTTACAAGCATTATTATCCATTGCTAGGTGTGTAACAGCATAACTGTCCATCAATAGTTTTTTGATTCAATCTTGTTCAAAATACCTTCATACGTAACATCAATTTTGCAAAGGTTTTTACCATACAGGCTTTGAAGAAAAGCTACAGCCGGTTGACCTTCACACATTAAAACGTTACTGTTGTTAAAAGCCATCCATTTTCGGTTGATGCACATTGCATCATTTTTGACAAGAATTCTGTGTGAACGATCCAACAACAAAAGCTCTTTTCTAATTTGAAGTAGCATTTTCTTCCTTTGTTGCTTAGCTGCATTGAGATCCTTTTCAAGGAAGATTTTCGTACCAG